TAATCCCTCGATAATCCACTAGGCTTCTTCGGGGTGGCCCGCACTTTATTTGTAATTGTATATAAGTTATCAAATATTGTTGTCTTTTATTTAGTGCAAACTGCAAATAAACAAATATGTGGCAAAAAGTACAGTTTTTAGGGCTTGGAAACCCGATTTTTCAAAGCCAATATTCTAGTCATTTATCTACAGAGTGAATTGAAACCACACTATCCCAATGGACCTTCATGGAGCAAAAAGACCAAAAATTCTGACAGAAAATGGTTAACGGAAGGGCCCCGGGTTGATTTTCAGGGTACCACCCAGAAAATAAAGAACTCATTTTTGGGCTTGTTTCTGCAGTTTTAGACTCCAATGAACTAATGTGAGGCAGTATGTGTCAATATCACAAAGATTGCTTTATTCAGAATATTTCCAATTTTGCTGCCCTGAAATCGCATAGGATGCCTTTAAAGACCTTCACCTTCGATGAAACGGTGTATGAACTCAAGAAATGAGGACGTCTACCTCAACGTGTAATAACTTGGAAGTGGTTTGTACAACACTTGACAAGCTGTCAATCTCCCACACTCAATACTCACCAAAATTACAACACTTGACAAGCTGTCAATCTCCCACACTCAATACTCACCAAAATTTTGTCAACGATTAAATTGTGCGATAAACTTGGAGCATGAACAACGGGGTATGGCTGCTTGGACTCAAGTAGTTTATACACTGTTGAAGTTTTACACGACAACAGAATAGTTTATTGCGTTGGTACACAAAAATTGCTTCGTAATTAAAGGATATTGGGCCCATCTATGGAAATTTCCGTTACATCACTCGTCATGTACAAGCTGTTAGTTTTCTCATGCTTATTGTCCACTTGAGATAAACAAGACACTTGGTAGGTGAAATTTGTGAAAACAGTTAATCATATGCTTGACGTATCGCCAATTAGTAAACATGTAGATTTTGGGTCCCACGACTCTGTAACATATCTGACTCTTTTTACACACCGCGCTATATTGAGCTGTTCGGTTCTTACGTTGCACGGTTCTAGGGAAAATTAGTGTTGCTGACAAAATAATAAACCAAAATCTCAACATCATAAAGCATTATGTTATAAAGCAATCCTCTTCATGTTTAATATTCGCAAAAGTACTCGTGACACAAGTGCTATATAATTATTATATAGCGTCCACATAAGAGAGGTAGTGCGTATGATTAGCTATTACATCTAATTATAGATATTTATGACCACCCATTGTCCTTGACACAAGTACCTACGTAATAGATTCTAAGTAGGAATTAAGATAAGTGTGATGATAATCAAGATATGTCTGGCAAGACGTCAAATAGCTGAAAGCTCTTACATTTTATTTTATTTCATGCTCTAGATCTATACATTTATCAAATATCATTAACAATGTTTTAATTCATTCTTGAAATAATCATGAAACAAGTTGGGTGTTAAAATTGATATTTCGCAATACTAGTACTTAGTCTACATGAAAGGAAATTACTAGTACTCCGGATCCCCTTGAAAGAAAATTGGGTCCAATTTTATCAATCTTAAGAGCTGTGGGTGCTACGTCATCAGACCACAATAACAACAGACAATATCATTTTATTGTCTTCGTGGTCTCTATATATTGTGGACAGACGTCGCCGTGCCATTTTGGTGAACACGGTGACTACAGACTAGACATCTCTTCAGTGTGACCATCAAAGTTCGAAGCGATGTTGCAGGTTTTGCTGATCATCGCTGGGGCTGCAAGTGCCATAGGTAGGAATTTAGATTTTAATAGTTTTATTGGTACTTTCACGTAAATCTGACCCCTTATGTTATCGTACATGTTTTTTCTTCCTACATAAGTACTTCTACTCGTTTTTTATTTTGCAAAATGTCTCCATTTTCATTTAATAGTGAGTGATCTTGAAGGAAATGTTGGCTTTGCTTTGCCTCAATCCACAGTACAATTGAATTCACTTCAGTTAAAGTTATGGTAATGTTTTATGAACAAATTTCGTACGTCGTAAGTGTACGAAGTGCAAAGCTATCAAACCAGGCGTAATGTCAGTGGGAGGACGACGAGACAACAAACAAAACTTGACCAATTGCAGGCGCGCACTGAATGATACAACAGAAACACACTACCCTACATGTACCTTGTAACAATAGTTTTGACTTGCGTGTTTCGTTTGATTTTTTTATATTCCAACATGTAGTCACAAGACGTGGTGACGGCACACTCAAGTTTTTAAAACTTATATTGATGCCGCCACCAACACAGGGGACAATACAATACTCATTTTGACTTGAGCGAAGTGAGGAAAGTTGTGTAAAGTGTCTTTCCCAAGGGCACAAGATCGGTGGCATGTCAGGACTTGAACCCGGGACCTGTTGGTTCCGAGTCGAGCACTCTGCCACTACGCCACACGGCCCCACATAATTTCGTTTGATTGTTTCTCGACAGCTCAGACATGCGACACAGTGTCCGGGTCCAGCGGGACGATCTCGTCCCCAAACTACCCGCAGAACTACCCCAACGACGCCGAGTGTACTTATGTACTGTCTCCTGGGGCCGGGCAGCAGGTAACATTGTCATCTCTGTATCTGCATCTGCATCATGCACGTAGCCAGGGGGGTTCGGAACCCCACAAGGCTCAAAGGTTCACTATTTATCTAAAGGTCAAAGTTTTTCTTCAAAAGGTGGACTGATTCGTGTCACCAGCGAGGCCGGAATTCTAGAAAAACTGCTCACTGTCATTGAATGAAAAGTTATCCCTGATTTTTCCTTCGAAATCCGCTCAAAAACACAGAAATACCCCCCAAATCAAAGTCCTGGCTACGGGTATGTGCATAGCCGGTAGAACCCCCTTTTAGCGTACCACTCCAAAATATCAGCTTCACAAACGAACAGGGGAAATTCTAACTACTAAACATCAGACAAAATATCTCTGTGTAGATTAAAAGAAATCTCGTTTCCCGTCGGCTGAACAGACAATCACGTGACCCCTACCCTGATACTAATTATTCCGCCCCTTTACCCTCTGACCCTTCATCCCTAACCCTCGTAAGGGTCATTCGTGGCTCAACCTTTCTCTGTACGGTCACATTTGTTTGGCTCCCGATCACATTTGTCCCAAGCGTGTGTAGTTACAATTTCCCCTTTGGCTTCTTCCGCTGGTCACTGGATTACTTCACCCTGTACTTCTGCTCGTGTGGATTCCCGTCTCTCTGACTGTTTCTTTGTATAGACGTTCGCGTTCCACGTAAGTTGAATATTCCGCCATGGATCTTGACCTCTACACCAGAACTACATCCCGTATTTGCGACCAGCGGCTCTACTGATTTCTTCGCGCCCCTCTGCTACAGTTTCGTCCCGTTTCTTCACATCGGTCGTCTGTTCCACGGATTTTGCGCCAACTCCCCATCGCCTCGGCAGACCGGACCACCTCGAGCTCGGATTCCACTGGTTACCCCCGCCCACCTGACGATGGAAGTTCTGTAGCAGGTTTTCCCCACTCCTTTCCATGTTCCCCCCGTCGTTTGTATTTTGTTGTGTTCTCGTTTAAATGTACTACCGTAACCGGTTTTATAATACTCTTTTTTTTACCACAGGAGATTGTTGCATGATGGACGTTCATAGATCTCTTTGCGTGAGGTCCTGTGCACTGCTCTAGTAACGCTTCTAATTTCCTTGCATATATACATTTTCCTACTTTGCGCTATGGCTATTTACACCTTCTTCCTTCAACAGAGACGTTCCCACCACGAGGTGTCACTCGAGGACAGCGCACTTCCTCACCTCCTGCTGCGTTAATGACAGCCAGGCTATACCCTCTTCCTGCCTGTTACAGTTGACCGCCTAGCCTTTTCTCTTCCAGACCACCCACTCGTGGGAACATTGTGATGTTATGAACGTAATAACCCTTCCACCCCTAACCCTCTAGCCTGGAATCCATCCGTGAACGCTGTGTCTCCGCTCCGTCCCTCCGCTCTGCCTTCAGGATTCCAGGCTACATCCTCGTGATTAACCATAAAATCTTCCTGACTTTCTTCCCGTATAGTACCCATCCTTGATCGGTTACAGACCTCCTGACGTACTGTGACACATGGACTATCGATAACCTTTTTAGTTCGGCAATCTACTAGTAGCAACTCGTCCAGTTTACCAACAGACCTTGCTCGTACATTCCAGATGTTTACCTTGGTCCTTCTGGACCGACGGAGTGGAAGTAGCGTTTGTTTTGTTTTTGTTTTGATAGACTGGTTGGCTAGGTCAGTTATTAATGTCCTAACTACCCTACTCCCACGTGATTCACATTTTTCTACACTCACTCTTCCAGCATTTGTTGTCTGATGGGCTGTCCTGACTGTTTGATTGGTTTCTCACTACATGTCTGGTGCGTCCACCTTGTATCTGATCCTTACCTCGGACCCTACCTCTCATGCCCTCACCTCGCCTTGTTTTTCCTTCCCATCCACCCCCGACCGACCCCCGACCCCGTTTCCCCCCTACCCTAGATCTTGACATGTGCACATGACTCACACCCCCCTTCATACGCATATGCTAGTACATGTAGTAGTAGCAAGTCGTTCTTGTGTTTGTACACTCTGCTTTTTTTTCGATTTCGTAGACGCAGTTATGCCGAATTACTTCACGTTTTAATTATGTTTCTCCCTTTTACGACTAGTGTGCTGCACACGGGAGGAACTAAGCTAAGTCTAATTATGCTTCCCCCTTTTGCGAATAGTACATGGTCACGTGATGTCCTTCCGGTCGCCGACAAGACAGTTGTTCGATCATCGATATTGCCGCCTTACCAACAGCTGTTTACACATTACAGCTCTCTCTTATGATCTACCACCACCGGTCTGAAGCTGTTTGACGACCTGATTGCTTCCTTATTCACAGATTCCAGTCTGGCATGGCATGTTCCTGGGAACGTCCTCCTCCTCAGTCCCTACCCCTCCTTGTTCTATCCCCCCACCCCATCCTTCCTCCCCCTTTTTTGCCTTTACCCCCCTACCCCATGTCCTGACAGGTTACTAGTACGTTATGTGCGTGACGTTGAATTGCGATGTGCTCCCGTGTGCCCCGTGTGCCTTTGAGATGTGATCCCCGTGTGCCCCGTGTGCTCCGTGAATGTAGTCCCCCCTGTGGACACATTGTTGATACATGGGAAGTTCCACCCCCCGTGCGGGTGAACGTAAGTCCCATCTAAGTTCAACCCCCCGTGCGGGTGAACGTAAGTCCCATCTAAGTTCAACCCCCCGTGCGGGTGAACTTGAGTTCACTTGAGTCCCGTGAACGTCAGGTTTCTCCGGAAGTCGAACGTGAAGTTCTACCGGTTCCCCCGTGTGGATGAAGGAGCATTCCACCAGTAGTTGCACCCAAGTGTGGGTGAACGTAAGTTCCACCACGAAGTTACTTCCGCCGCGCGGACGAACGTGAAGTTCTATCGGACGTTCCTCGTGTACACGCGTTGACACCTTGTCGAGGTAGGACTATTAAAGGGACCCCAGCGTGGATCACTGCATGCGGGACGCTGGACTTTACCCCGTCGAGTTAATGACGAACCAGCATGACCGGACTGCTTCGTAGTACTGTATGTTTCATCGTGACCTTGATTCAGCGAAGCGTAACCTGCAGTGGCAGCCATGTGTGTGGACCTGGGACTGATGCTGTGCGGTTCATCGCTCCAGTCAGGACTGAATCACATTGTATACTTGAACTTGTGACTAAAGCAGATTGTAGCTCGTCTTGTGCAAGCGCACAGAACGAACATGACCTCTCGAACACTTCGAACTCAGTCGTTACCGCCTAAGTCGTCATCGCCAGGAGACGTTACCACCTGAAGTCGTCATCAGTTGTACTTCCGTGACTCTGAACATGAACTTACAGCTGCGTGTTAATCCTACATGTTGCTTCCTTACACGTATGACTCCCTCGTTGCGAAGAGACTATCTTTTTATATATCGAACCAGTCCCGTTACTCCAGTACCTTACATTTATCATACTTAGATTAGCCCAGCCGGTTCTCCCACCTCATCATCATCCATTCCCTCCCGGTCTGTTGTCTCTCTGTGTACAAGGGTATACACAGAGATGCTATCCTTTTGCATCGTGACGGTGAGCTCACTACCCTAATTGTGTGTGTTTGTCTGTCTGTGAAATAGACGGGAAACATAGTTCTCTTCGGAGCTTGCGAAGAAGAGAAATCTCGTTTCCCGTCGGCTGAACAGACAATCACGTGACCCCTACCCTGATACTAATTATTCCGCCCCTTTACCCTCTGACCCTTCATCCCTAACCCTCGTAAGGGTCATTCGTGGCTCAACCTTTCTCTGTACGGTCACATTCCCGCCCAACCCTCCCATGACTAATCCGAGAACACCTGAATTCTAGGACGTTAGTTATGTTTCTCATCTCATACGACATCGCGCTACCTTAGTTCTTACTTACTGACTTATCTAGACTCGTACATTTCGTCATAGCACTGTACGTTATCCTCAATGGTACCTGCGACATAGCGTACGTAATCAGTTGTTACATAACCTTCATGTTGTCTCTTCTCTGCAAGATACCTGCCTTGCTAGCGTTCACAGTCACATTGTGGCCAATTGCTGTACTCAGTATGTTGTGTAGTTGTAACCTCTGATATACTCCAGAATTGTGTTATTGTCGTAATTTTTGAACCACGTTACTTACGAAGGTCAGTAGTTTTCAGGTGTACCTGTAACGCATTATTTGCTTAGCCTGGATGTTTTCGACCTTGTTCACGCAGATGAGCTTTTGAACTTCGCCGGTTAGAAGTTACTTACAAGTCAGGATGCGTTAAACATCCGCTGGACAGAGCCTTGGTTTAACCGACCAGCCCGACTTTGGCTAAACAATTGGCAACCAGGGTAAAATAGGTCGCCAGCTCGCAGCACATGACTTGTTGTTGTTGTATTAGGCTCCTGTATAAGTATGTACATGCTATGAGAGCTACAATGTGTAGAGAGTAATGGTGTTACTGAGTTGAGGAGCCAATTGCAATAAATGCCCGACCGTACTGAGGTGACGGTGAGCTCACTACCCTAATTGTGTGTGTTTGTCTGTCTGTGAAATAGACGGGAAACATAGTTCTCTTCGGAGCTTGCGAAGAAGAGAAACGGCATGGCATAACGTTTTCTGTTAACTACCAAGTAAAAAATGATCGGCGTTCTAACGATATGTTTTCCGTTTTTTCCTGTAGGTTTCGATCGAGTTCACGTACTTCTCCCTTGAGTCCCACTCCCGGTGCTCCTATGACTCAGTGGAGATCTTCGATGGACCAGGAAATTCTTTGGGTACGTTAAACTGTGATCTAAAATGGAAACATTAGCCCTTTTATTCTCCTAAACGTCTCAATTCTAGTTGGTATATAAAATAACTTTGAAGTAAAAAAATGTTCCGAAATGCATGCTGCATCTAATCGCGGTTTGGAATAGTTTTCTTTTCCACCTAAGGCCACAGCAGGTAATTTTTGGCGACGCCTCAGGGGCGGAGGCATTTTACAGTATATTACGATCAAGCTGAAAGAATTTAGAAAATTTTACGAATGCATTCCCTGGGGAATTGGTTTTGAGGTAGCCTCCGGCCTTATGTCTTCGTACCCGGCAGGAAAGGCCTATGTTACCATGCATGCAAAAAGCACCTTGTCGGGCAAACTGTGGCTTTTTGCACACAGAATATTAATGATTGTCTTTATTGATATTTCAAATATGTTTTCTTCTATTAAGAAAGAACAAATTTTCTTCCTCATAAGAAAGAACAAGGAGCAACATTCAAGCTTATAATGCTTCAAATATGTTTTTAGTTTCAACTATATGATGCTGGTCGTTTTTTTATAACTTACCTGTGTGATACATGTAATAGTGATGTTTTGTGTAAGGAATTTTATTCACTTGTGTGTTTTCTATGTAACACACAATGTATGCATGTTTGTATCAGTCTTGCTTTTTTATTATTTTTTTCTTTGCTTTCACGATGCTGTTGCATTCAGCTTCAGTGCTTGTTTTTCAACTTTCTTGCGTGAAAAACATGAATGCACACCCCAATCCTTCCACGACTGGGTTTCGTGCTAGCCAGTAAATTCCTGCTGTAGTCTGCTTCTCAGGGTGGACATGGCGAATTCTGCCTGTGGTATAAAGAGAGAAAAGAGCATAAATGAATCTATGCCAACTTTGACCAGCTAGGACTAACTTAAATCAACAAGATTTGGGGTCATGCTTTACACATAAATGTAAATATGCAATGTGAGTCGATTAATTAAAAGAATGCAATGAAGCGGACACATAAATACACCCTTTTCTGGCAATGAAATTTGCGACATCATGAAGTATACATGCCGTGTGAGATTTTCTGCTGCCAGGTAATATATATATATAATTTCATAATGACTAGCATATGTGCCAGACCCTAGCACTTAGAACAAGGAGCTTACCTCCTCGCTTAGGAGAAAGACAGTGTTTTTTTTCTGAGTCTCTCGATCGGGCATCTATATCGCCCAACACGCCCCAGTTTCGGAGCTGGCATCCTTCTTCAATTTATCTAGAGTATCTATTCTGGGTTCCGGGCGTGTGGTTTCCCCGACTGAATGGAGTATCGTGTCACAGGGCCTGGCACCCAGGCTACACTGTTTTCCCAGCAATGACATCATAGTAAACATGTTACCGTATTTCAAAAGTCACACAGCTTATTGTGAAAGAAGTACTATATAGAGATGCGAACATTGCTTAACCATCGTGATTATGAACACTATTGCATAAAATAAGGATGGTTAGGCACTCACCTGGTACTTTGTTCCACTTTTTGATTGTATTCTTGAGTAACTGTTGTGTTTGTCGTCATGTAGAGCTGAAAGAAACAATGTAGTACTGGTTAGCGAAGTTTGTTGCATGCTAGGGTCGCGTTATTCAGCATAGTTCTTCAGCGTTCAGCGTGACCACGATGTGAAACTTGGACCTTATTATGTTGGGATGTCAGCAGGTAAACTACACATATGTACAGAATACGCGGAAATAATATCAACTTGCAATTGTGTGAATAGTATTATTGTTAAAACCAAAATGGCGTTGACCTAGAGATGAGTATATGACGTACTGAAACCTTCTCCGTGCACTGAGATGGTCTCCACTGTTCGGAACCCCGAGTCGTTGGCAGGTGCGGGCAGTTTAGCGCGGACAGGGCATAACCTTATATGCCAGCACCGGTGTTCAGTGTAGAACAGTAGGGTATCCCTCGCTGCATGTCTGAGATTTACTGGAAAGACAAGAAAAACAAACGCCCGGGGTTACTGGACAGAAGAGCCTTGACGTAGAGAATTGAGGGTAAGACCGGAAAACCCCGGCGGAACTTGGCGTCAGGTGGCTCAAACTTTACATAAACCAGCAGCTAAAAACGAGCAGCTATTAAAAACAATTCACTAAAACACTGATCGTCGATACCTGATAAAGACAACCAGCTGGATCTGTAATGAAATACTGACCAAATTCTGCAAGCAAAATGGACGGAATAAACCACACAAAGAACAAGATGAGTGAAGTCAGCACTGCCCGCCCGCCCAGGGGTATTTTACCGGGTCAGTTACAGGACGCGTACGACAATGATTAGAAAGGCCAGCTGGAAAGATCTGACATATCAGCAGAGTTTGGCTGGGGCCTGCAAAATATCCCTAAGCCACTCATTTGAACACAAGGGTTTTGTCGGAAAGAGGAGTCCGAGAATATCAAGTAAAGCCGAAAAACTTGATCCCGGTGGAAGTTAACGTCAAGTGGCACACATTTTTAATGCGTAATAAACTTAAATTCCAACTTCTCTCCACTCGTGCGGTAACCAGCCAACAAGCAACTTTAAACTTTCTCTAACTCCGAGTCAGTGATCAACAATGACGTATCGATCAGTCATGATATAACAACACCCAAATTCTGACACCGGAACTTTGAAGACACAACCAAGAACTTAATTTCCAACATCACACAAATAAAACGTTCAAGTCACGCTGACTATGACGCTGACTATGATGGATACTCTGCCCGGCCATCGAATCCGTAAACAATAATTTGTAATTCTTATCGTAAAAGCGAACTCACCAAAATTTCCCAAAACCACTGCGAGTGATACATGTACTAGGGTTAGTAGAACCGTTCCTCCATGGCAGTAATTATAGGACTGAATCTTTGTCGGTGATAAATATTATGAATGACATCGACGCGCGCAGTGATTTTCGCCTGATTTGGGAAAAAACAAGAAGTTTTGTTGCCTTCTGACAGTGGTCAACGTGCCAAAAATGGGCAAAGATGCCTGTTGCCATGCCGGAACGTGAAATAATGGCAGATAACTATAAAGACAGGAGACAAGAAAAAACTCAATGTCTTGTTTTTTTATGTGAGTGATATGTGATACTGGCTGTGTATATGTGATGTTCTCACTGAATCAAAACCATTTGTACAAAATTTGAGAATGTAGGAACCTTGTTTTTTTTGGCCCGCCTTGTTTTTTGTTCGCCCGCTCGCATTAGATTTGGAGTTTGCCGAGGATGTCATCCATAAAATTTACTTGCTGTGGCCTAATCTATTTTTATAACCTAAATTTAGGCTTAAAATTTCTAAGCTTTTAGATCTACATGTGATATATTTTGATGTGAATAACTTCCAGGCATGTTTTGTGGCACCAACATGCCCGGACCCGTCACCAGCAGTAGGGAAATCGTGGTAGTCTTCTCCAGTGACTACAGCGTCACAGCCAGGGGATTCAGGTACTCACCTTAGAGTTCTTTTCAAACAAGGGTGGTGATTATAAAAAAAAACAACTTGGCGACGACTGGCGTTATGTGGAGCTGTCGTATGCAATACATATGATACGTTATAGGACTGTTAGCAAGTTTGAAATTACAGTATATGGAAATTAATTGGTTGTAAAAAGATAAACACACAAGATAGTATGTAATATGTGTTTTGCCAGCCAAATTTGTCGTCAAATTTAGGCAAAGTTTTACGTAGTTTTATCATCACGTGTCTTGCCAATATATATTTTTCTGCTTTTTCGGATTTGAATATTTCTTTATTAAAACCTATAGCTTTGACTACGAGATAACCGGAGGAGAAACGGGCGGTACCACCACCACTGCCGCCACAACAACGACTACCACGTCATCAGGACAAGGTTTGTACCATGTGATATCTGCGTGTAAATTATTCTGAAGACTTTTCTTCGACATTCAAGATTTTTAATATTTTGCAACTTCTTACAGTCAAATATTTTTTTGGTTATGGTGGATAGGGAATGAGGGAAACATGCATCTAGAAGTGAGGTACAAAACTTTGTCTTAAAACTTTTAATGAAGAATTTAGGGCTTCCGGCTTTCTTTGCATTATAACAAACATAGAGTAGGTCTTAAGAGTTGACATCAAAATAATTATTTTGACGAGATATAAATAATGTTTAGAGACTTGAGCAATGTTCATCGTGCGCATTTCATAACACTCTCGAGTAATGGGGAGTTCTTTCTTCTTCTGTGCACTTCTGTTCATTAATGTATGAAGAAAATAAACATTTCAAAACATTTTGATCAAATCTGACTTTTTTCCCAGGTTCCTGTGGCGTACCTGACGTCACCCCCTTCAGCACGACACGCATTGTGGGTGGCGAGACTGCGCGTGCGCACAGCTGGCCATGGCAGATCTCCATGCAGTCTTCAACCGGGTACCACATCTGCGGGGGGTCGCTCATCAACGAGAACTGGGTCCTCACTGCCGCACACTGTAACCCACTGTAAGTTTGGTTTAACTATCACTTGGCGCAAGAAGCTACTTCGGAGGTCGTGGCTAAAGCTAATTTATCTAAATGCATTTAACGCTTTAATGAATATGCCTTACTACTTTTAATTTAACTTATTATCACCTTCGTCAGAAGGCTATAGTATGTGTTTAGGTACACCATACATAGGGGTTGCTGATTTTGTAATCGGTTATAACTTGGGGTGTGGTGCATGTATCTTTATGATATTTGGTAGGTAGGATGAGGTTGGAAAAGGGAAGGTCAAGATTAATTTTGGGTACTCTGGTGGTTTTATAAGGTACTGCAGCGGGGTACATGGTAAGATATCTCGTGCTGTGGTTATGCTATGGTCTTGATCTTTGAGTGGGACATGCATGCTTTGACAGTAAGTATCTGGTGTGGTTTTCAGCGAAATAGCTGTAAGTTTGAAATTTAGCTAGCCGGCCGGGGGGGGGGGGGAGATGTTTATATAGTTATTCTTTCGTACCCACGTGTATGTTTGTATGTCTAGTTATAGACCTTACAAAAGTCGCTGTACTTTTGTTGTGTCAATATTTAAAAGTTCTCATATAAAACATACTGCCATCCAACTGCTTCTCAAGAACGCCGTACTGTTATCTTTGACATTTGTTACTGAAACGCAGTTGATTTGTTATGCCGGCTTTTTAATATCCGTAGTAACAGTTACGTTCAGTTGCCTCACACACAGTACACACTGTCCGTGTTTCAGACCTAACAACCACAAGATCATCCTGGGGGAACACTCCAGGAGCAGCGACTCCGAGGACATTCAGACCCTCGACGTGGAGGCAACGATTTGTCACAGCCAGTACAACGTTGGGTACGAGATTGAGATCAATACAACCTTATTTACCACCACCATTTCATTTCTTTCTGCTTCTGTTTTCAAGGGATTGTTGTCTTATCATCATCTACATGTAGTGTTAGCGTTGGTTTATGAAATTCACTTCACTTTTTGCTGAAATTGTACAGACACAATATGCTTTATTTGTTTGTTTCGCATAACTAGTAAACCGCTTTTATGCGTAATATACAGCAGTTTTGTACAGTGAGACAAGTAGGAAGTATCCCAACTCTTTTGTGTTGATAAATCTGATTTTCGTAGAATTTAACTAAAAATAGCGAGCTTTTTCACCAGTATTTTTTATGTATTAAAAGACATGGTGACGGCACACTCAAATTTTTTCAACTTATTTTCAACGCAGACAAACATGTAAACGGACAACAGACATACTCATTTTTACGTAAGTGAAGTGAGGAAATTCGTGGTTTAAGTGTCTTTCCGGCATAAAATTGCCCGTGGCATGGCAAGATTCGAACCCGGGACCTCATGGTTCCGAGTCGAACGCTCTGTCGTTTAATACACCACACGATCCTAGCCTCCTCCGCAGACGTGTAGGTCGCAGTGTTATTTTTTCGGTGAGAGACGCGAGTTATGCCGCGGAGGGACGATTTTGCCGCCGAGGGAGTTTTGCCGAAACCGTCTATCCCTGGCAAAACTCCCTCCGCGCAAATCGTCCCTCTGCGGCAAAACACCAAAAATAATGCAGTGCCCTACAAGTCTATGCTTACAACATAGACCCTACGACACGATCCATACATATACAGCTTTCCATTATTGTCCTAACAGGGTCCAGTTCGACAACGACATCTGCCTGATAAAGCTGTCCCGTCCCGCCGTGCTGGGTGAACATGTCAAGCCGGTCTGTCTGGCGGAGACTACCGACGAGTACACGTCCTCTATGACCTGCTACACCACGGGGTGGGGCCGTACGGATACCTCTAGTAAGTCAATCATTCATTCTTTACTTTACCCTCAGAAAAGACCTCAAAATGCATAGCCTGGAGTCCAGCCTGTTTTTGGCACTTTCGGGCGTGGTTCCGGCGGGGCCCCGAGAAGAAATTAATTCTGACTTAAATTCTACCCGGGCCCCGCTGACAAAAATATGCCGTGACCTCAGCGTAAGAACACCGACAGGCACCCCTCCGGTTGCCGGCAGTCCACCGGGACACATTTTCTTAGTCACAGACCAGATGCACAGAATAAAGGTGTGTACTTCGTAAACCCGGGTCAAATGTGTGACGTCACAGATCAGGTGATTACAACAAAGGCGTGAACTTTGTATTACAGGGGTCACTACAAGACATCGTCAGAGCATCTGCCGGGTACCTGCCGGGGTCCTACTAATGAGGGTGAAAAAAGTTAAAACAAAATTTCCACTGAATTAAACTTTTAATTGTGACCACGACAGCCAGTGCCCTCCCGACTCCTGAGCCCGACCGGGGCCGGCCGGGGCTACATCCCTGATGGCCACCGGCGCAATCGGGAACGAAGCTTAACCATGCCATGCATTCCGTGCTTTCGATAGAAAGAATATAATTTTTTTGGCCCTTGCTTTGGAACATATTACGGTCGTGAGATTCATAAATGTGTATATCTTGAAGAATAAATACTGATACTAGTATACTCTCCGATCTGTTCCCAGGTTCAGCCTCGGCAGACACCCTTCAGCAGACCCAGCTCCCGGTGATGACCAACGAGGTATGCGCCGGCTACTGGGGCAGTGGCCCGCTGACTGACAGGATGATCTGTGCGGGCGCGGAGGGCTCCGTCTCTTGCCAGGTGAGCCCCACCCATTGTTTTGCGTGGCTGAGCTGTGGGTTTGTGTGTTTCTTTGTTTGGACAGAGTTTAGGTTGACAGCACGTGGGTGGAGGAAGATTGACAGGTAGACTGACAGGAGTTCAAAAGGTTAGACACAGGAAACTGGATGAAATTGAAGATCGCGAAAATCCAAACTACATCCCTGACCACCCACTCAAGCTAAATTAAATGCTAACTTGTATTCGCTGATATCTTCACCTCTAACCAAATCCTAATTTTCGCTTATATTTCATTCTAATAAAATGCCTTGAAGTAAGCACCAGGAGAGTTACAATTGATCTGGATGTAATGTATCAGATGAAACCTTGATATAGCTGTTGTGTGACCATAGCTATCTATACATGCATATGTCTGCATCAATGTTGTCACGGGGTTTGTTCGAATGACATTAACTGTGAAATTATGATAGCCGCTCAAAACTACATCACAGAAACAAAACACTTCTAGTTGTATGTGTCCTGCTATGCTTTCCATCTCTTCTGGGATGGGAGGTTTGACCCATGCTATCCATAGTTTTTCAAATGTCTTGTAAACGCATTTTTTCCATTGTAAAAGTGGCTGCGAGAATATAAGTTGAACCTAACTTGAGCTCGCAGTCACTTAGTCCATGTCCTTTTATTTCTATTCACCTCTGTGCTTCTGAATGAAAAAAAAATGTTGTCACGACGATGAATTGTACAGGTTACAGTATCAATGGTGGTGCAATGATTTAGATCTAATGACCCCCTCCTCCTCACAGGGAGACAGTGGCGGCCCGCTGGTTTGTCAGAAACAGGCGAACGGGCCGTGGAACCTGGTGGGAGTGGTGAGCTGGGGTTCCTCCAGCTGCCTGACTAACTACCCCGCCGTGTACGCCCGCGTCACCGCCCTGCGCACCTGGATAGACGAGTCCATCAGCGGGTACACCGGTCCATAGGCTAGACCGCGCCCCTGTACCGGGCAGTCTCAGCCAGACTCCAAAACAAGCTTACAAATAGTAGAAATCGGCGAAAATAGGGAGTATGATTTGGCAAAGGAGGTAAATGACAAGAGAAAGTTTAAGTGACATTTAGATAACCGAAGGCAACTGGGACGTTCCTAGCTGTGTATATCTCCTCTGCCAAATTACTTACCATATCTAACCGATTTTGTAACGTGCACTTGCTTCCCACAAGAATCTGGTATGTAGACTATGTGCCCGGCACTATTCTCGACTAAAAGTCTAAAGTAAAGACACATGCTTGCACCACGCCAGCAGACACATGTCTGCGATATGCTTGCGAAATAAAATATGCTTTGTGAAGGCATCAAATGTCTATCAGTTTTCCTTCATAGGCAGATTAGATAGTTTTAGCTAGCCAAGGGCCACGACATATAGCATCCAGAGAACAGCCCTGGAGCGCTTTTGTTGCTACCCTACATGCGGCTCTGGCATAAAGGGCAGTCAGTAGTAAGTAAGTAAGTAAGTAAGCGTTGAGACAAAGATTATAGAAATAGAGCCTGGCATGATGGCAACAATTCCCCAATCCCGAAAAAATGACGCATAGCTTGTGATGCTGTGAAGCCAACTCTTTATTTCTCCAACTTATTTCTTTACGACACTGCAATTACTGCTCACTATTTTCCTGTACCATGCTGAAGAGTTTAAACGCTAGTTAGTTAGTTAGTATGTCTCCGCGGTGTCGACAGGCTGGTACCGGAAGGCCATCTTGTCGCGGCGGTGTTTGTAGACGAACGCCATGGCGGCGATGCCGAGAACGACCACGGCCAGACCGGCCACGGCGGCGACGGCGAGGGTCAGGGCCGGGGTCTGCGCAAAGTTGCTGGACGTGGAGGGCTTCTTCTCAGCATAGAAGTCTGTAGGCAAACAAAGCAAATGGTAAAATTATATCTCTTAGGCACACTGACTTAACTCTATGGATGATATCCTCTGAAGACCCCAAAACTAGTGCGCGCGGGCGAATAAAAAAATCCGGCCAAAAATAAAAATACTGCTAAACCACAGGAATACAAAGCTGGTATTGTAAATTTGCGGTAATACACAGCGACTTTTACGACAAGCCGGCACATGATGGCCTCTTGCGGGATTAATGAGTGGGCGCTGTACTGAGTTCTTGAGTTCCGTGGAGTTTCGGCAGCCTGGGTGTCATCGTCGTAGTTACCGCCGGCTTCCTGTTGTCGCTAGTTACCATGCATATGGACCACAGAGGATGGTACCCAGGCAAGAGCCTCGGAGGACGTGATCTTTTTTTAGAACAGGCGAAAACCAATACTGCGCACGCGGATGTCATCCATAAATCAGCGTGGCCTTACAATAGCCAAAAACGTGCCCTAAAAGAAAAAAAATTATAGGGATTCCAGCCATAACGCAACAGGACAAAAATTATCACAAACACACTGTGATAACAAAAGCAAATAATTTGAAGCAGATAGATGTAAAGTTGGGTTTTCATGAAAGTTCATCTGTGTTGGTAGTAATAATAGTAAAACGTTAAACTTTATTTCAACACAGAGTTTACAGAGAGATCAAATTTTCAGCGACCACTGTCGCCTTCATCAGGATAATTAATGACCAATCACTTCGCAACGCGATCTGACGAGAGTTACGGTTTACAAACAAGTGACCTTATTCACACGAGACTTTACTGATACGTGACGTAAGCAATTGATCAAAAGTGTCATGGAGTTTATATCGTCCACCATCTCTATTAAGTGAAGACTGAAGTGCTCTGATATACATGGCCTTCTTAATGCCTCTTAAAAAGTAGTCCTGTTCAGTGTCCAGTATTCTAACTTTGTCCAGAGAGACGGTATGGCCCGGTGATTTGATGTGTTGAAAAACTTCGGATGACAGCGAGCTGGGGCGTTTGTGTTCAAGAAATCTGGTCCTCAGTGAGCGTTCTGTCTCGCCAATGTAGGATTCTTTGCAGGTCCCCTGCCTTGTGATTTCCTGATACGGAATGCGGTACACTACGCCACACTTCTCTTCTTTAGGTGTTGTGTCCTTTGGTGCCATGAGGAGCTGTTTCAGTGTGTTGGCGGGTTTGAAGGAGGTGGAGATGCCGTGTGAAGCGAAGATTCTGCGAAGGGGTTCTGAGACGGTCTTGATGTACGTGAGTGATGAGGCCTTTGTCCTTCTGTTTTGCTCCCAGGTTTCTGTTGTTCTGTTGGGTGGGCTTCGGTGCAGTCGCCTTGTCTATGGCCTATTTAGGGTACCCACAGTCCGTAAGGGCCTGTTGTATGTGTTGTTTTTCTGTATCCCTGTCCTGTGGATCTGTGATGATGGAGTCAGCTCTGTGGAACAATGTCTTAACGACTCCAAGCTTGTGTTCCAGAGGATGGTTGAATATGAAGTTGAGGTACTGGTCTGTGTGTGTAGGTTTCCGGTAGATAGTCAGGCGCAGTGAACCGTTGTCTTGGATCGTGGTGAGAGTGTCGAGGAAGGGGAGGGTTCTGTCTTGTTCTGCTTCCGATGTGAATTTGGTCTGTGAATTCCTGTGCGTGGGCTTTCTCCAGTTTGGTGTGGGTGTCGTCGACGTACCGGAACCACCAGCGGGGCGGGTGTGTAGCTGTAGTTATAGCGTTCTAAGTGTTCCATGTACGAGTTTCATATTATGGGTGACAACGGAGACCCCATCGCTGCCCCGTGTATCTGTTGGTAGAAGATGCCGTAATACAGAAAGTAGGTGCAATGTAAGCAGACTTCCAGTAGTTTGACGCAGGTAACATTGATGGACGCTATGGTAAGGTGGGGTTCTCTTGAAGTCTTCGTAGAATGATGTACAGTGCTTTGTTGACAGGAACAGACGTGAAGAGTGAAACAACGTCAAAAGAGCGGAGTTCCCCTCTGGAACACAAGCTTGGGGTCGTTAAGACTTTGTTCCACAGAGATAGCTCCATCATCACAGATCCACAGGACAGGGATTCAGAAAAACAACACATACAACAGGCTCTCAAGGACTGTGGTTACCCTAAATAGGCCATAGACAAGGCGACTGCACAGAAGCCCACCCAACAGAACAACAGAAACCTGGGAGCAAAACAGAAGGACAAAGGCCTCATCACTCTCCCGTACATCAAGACCGTCTCAGAATCCCTACGTAGAATCTTCGCCTCACACGGCATCTCCACCTCCTTCAAACCCACTAACACACTGAAACAGCTCCTCATGGCACCGAAGGGCAAAACACATAAAGAAGAGACGTTTGGCGTACGCAGTGTACTGCATTCCGTGTCAGGGAACCACAAGGCAGGTGAACTGCAAAGAATCCTACATTGGCGAGACAGAACGCTCACTGAGGACCAGATTTCTTGAACACAAACGCCCCAGCTCGCTGTCATCTGAACATCGAATCACCGGGTCATACTGTCTCTCTGGACAAAGTTAGAATACTGGACACTGAACAGGACTACTTTCTAAGAGGCATTAAGGAGGCCATATATATCAGAGCACTTCAGCATTCACTTAATAGAGATGGTGGACGATATAAACTCCCTGGCACTTTTGATCAATTGCTTACGTCACGTACCAATAAAGTCTCGTGTGAATAAGGTTACGTGTTTGTAAACCGTAACTCTCGCGACATCACGTTGCGAAGTAATTGGTTATTAATTATCCTGATGAAGACGACAGTGGTCGCTGAAAATTTGATCTCTCTGTAAACTGTTTGTTGGAATAAAGTTCAACGTTTTACTACGTAAAGTTAGGTTGTTCGACTAGAAAAACGCACCGACGCCCTCGTCGTCTCCGGGCATGCGCAGGAAGATGGGGCCCGCGGACACTTGACGTAGCTGGTTGCTAGGCGTGGCCTCACGTTTCTCCCGGTCACCACGCCTCATGCATCCCATGGTGCACTGGGAGTTGGGGTCCGACCCGTCACAGACCTGCGAGAGAGATGAGACAGGAAAAAAGACGAGAAAGATTCAATGCGCGATACAAATATACTGTTTGCCGAACTGGGACTGCAACTCGATGTCAATGTAGTACTATCAAGAAAAAAATCCCCACCTGAATTACGCAGTGCAGGTAGACTTGGTTCTGTCCGTTGGCGAACTGGAAAGCGCGAAACCCAAAACGTTCCACCTTCGGGAGGGATGTGTTGTACATCATCACAGTAGGGTCTTCGGGACAGCTGCGACAAAACATGAATGTTATCAACTTATATAACTTATCAATTATTCATTTGAAAATAACGAAATCCTGACAAGAGCTGCTTTTACCTACGGATGCAGTTTTATTCTAAGAATAACATGGGAGTAAAGGCCTACTTGTTTTCGATGACGCTGTAGATGACAGTATCGGTCGGGTTCCGTGAAGGCGTGGCCACGCAGGAGTCCACCCTGATGCGGAGATTGTCGTCAGAGGAGAGCCGCACCTGCGCGTACGCCCTCTCGTTCAGCTGCAGTTCCACCGGCCCCGTGTGCGCGGAGTAGAACGACGAACTGCGGTAAAACTGCAGCGCGATGTCAAACTGCCCCTCCCTCTCAAGGTTGTACCTCACGGCGTTGGAGTCTGCCGTAAACTGGGCGGAAACTACGGACTTGCGCGGTAGCTTGCAGGTAACAGGGACCTCGAGCTGAAGGTCCCGGATGATGACGCTGTGATTGGTCGAGTACATGAGGACCTTGTTGGTGTAGATGACGTGAGCATCTGTTTCCTATTGCGAGGAAAAAACATAATGTGCAGAAATTTTTCAATATCTGAGTTGCTCTCTATGTTCTCTTAAACTTCAAGCTACTGAACAGAAAAAATGGCGTCTAAGTTAGGCTTTTATCATGGTTGACAAAGAAAGGAAACCTAGTAAATGTAATCCGACATCATGTATAAATATAAGTCAAACGTACGTTCCTTTTCGTCCCACAGTCGCTGAGTTTAGTCGCTAAGATGAGGTGAGAACCATTGTTGTAGGCCTTACAGGTGGGGTCGGCGAAGTGCATAAAATTCCCATCAAGCCACGGGGCAACCCACAGGTCAAAGGTCACTGTCATCATGTCGGAGTCGCAGGAACCGCTGATACCTAAATCTGCACAAGGACATGGTATCAACATATGTGGGAGGATGTAGTTGAAGTTAATTTTTTAGATTCTTCTTTGGAATTTCATTCAATATCTAAAATTATTGTCCCAAAAGGAATAACACGTACCAGGTTGAGAAGTTTGCAGTGGTGGGGTGATCGTAGGAAGATCAGTGCCGTTGGCACCTGGAAAGGTTTTGGCAAAACAGATTAATTATCACTCCACTCTCCTGTCCATAATTTCAAGACAAAGCATTTCTGATGTGAAAAATAGATTTTCAATCATATTTAGACTTTTCTAGTACAATGTACTAGAATGCCCCTGTCCAACACATAGCAGAGCTAGAATTATAATATTCAACAGGCTCTGTGGATCCGTGCAATCATGGCCGTCCTAGTGTGTCGACGTCATTTTCTAATTGATAGGGAGCAGCAACTTGCCACAGAACATATAGAATAACATCGCTAACTCATGTTAAACGTACCACATACTGCCACGTAGTCGCGTGATCGCGTGAACAAGAAAAAGAAATGAAGATGCATGCAACCAAAAGACCATATAACGTAGGTTTCCTAATCTTGTCGACCAAATTGCATGATATGGCTCGTAATAGATACTAGTAAGTCTACAATGCATACTTTGTGACATGACAGTTTGATGTGCCATTCTTCAACACCTCTGGGGACGAGAAAGTTTTTAAGCCAATGTTACGAGTACTCACCACAAACCACGCTGACGTCTTCATAGTGGTAGCAATTATGGCTTCCCCAACCGTTATGTGTGCAGTACTGCAGGGAACTCTCGTACCCGTTGCAGTTAAGGTTGTCCATCCAAATGGGTCCGCTGCCCTGGCCGTAGTACGCTCTGTAGTAGTAGGTGGAATAGTCGGAGAATCCTAGTTCACGGCAGATGACTCGGGCTTCTTGCCAACCGAAGCCGTCGTCACAGACAGTCCCCCACTGTCCGTTGTAGTAGACCTCCACTCTGCCGTAGCTGTAGCCGTTTCCACCCCTCAGTCGGATCTGGAAGCCTGTTGGATGTGATAAAGTGTGGCGTTTAGAATTCTTTTATGACACGACAGGTTCAAACGCGATATGTGCCTCCTTTTGACGTCTGTTAACATACGGCCCTACATGGCACAGTCGGCGATTTGACAGGATATTTGTAAGGGACAATGTGAAATTTACCGTAATGTCAAAAGGCATTTCCCTAGATCAAAGTACTTACTGTGATTGTTCCAGGCCGTGGTCCACCAACTGTCAGGAACCGTGGTCGGTTCTTGGGTGCCCCAGTATTCTGTAAAATAGACAGATATTGATTGTAGTTAATCTATTTAAACGTTATTTTAGTTTAATTATTATAAATTAATGTAGTTTAAATTTAGTTAGCAGGAAAGCAGGGCAAATTTTAAGGCCGGTAACTGCTTTGATATGTTACTCGCCTTGATATCGGATTCTGAACCCGTTGTCTACTACACTTCCATCGCTTGTGAAGTGGATCAGAACTTCGTTGGATGAGCTATAGAAGTACCTCCAGGATCCCGTTCCATCAAGACTGCAATTTTATAACGACAGTTCAACACTTCATGTCGAAAACCATTAAACGTCATATAGTGATAAATCTTGTTGTAGAACAGTGCATGCCGGACACAGCTGTTCATTTCCATCATTGCATGTGCTAATATATTAATTATTCCACTCCTATACTGACAGTTTAATGTTAACTGCCCATAATATATGCTTTTCATATAGAGAACTTTATTGACACAACAAAAGTACAGCGACTTTCGTAAGGTCTAAGACATGTAGATATACAGACAAATATACATGGGTACAACGAAATTAACCTACGTACAAAACACTAATGGGTCAACTAATAGTACTTGTTCAAAGGTCTAAACATTCTTTGATATATTTACCTAATTATCTATTTGTACACAGTAAGGGTTATTGCCTTCTAGGATGAAATTAGATTTATCTATAGCATGATGAAATGTAACAAATTCCAAGAGACATACCGGGCAAGTCTGGGAGAACTAGTGGATCGACCGTCGTAGATGTTCAGGTAGTCGTGACCGGATTCCAACTGGAAACGTTCCACCACAACTTCCAGGGTAGATCCAGGTGATCCAGTGATGGTCCATCGGCAGTTGGCGTTGTTGAAGTAGTTGTTTGGGTAGTGTGGACTGTCGATGACACCGGAAGATTGGTAAAAGTATCCGCCACAGGGAACGACGGGGGGTCCTGTCGTGTAGGAATGAAAATCGCTGTGTATGAAACTGTTTGCTCCTGTTTCACTATATTCGGAATTTGTTTTACTAAGCCATACTAATAAAGTATTGTAAGATATCTTGAACTAAACACCTATCTTTTATTGATCATATAAGTATCCTAAGCAATGTTTTTTTATCAGGTGTCCGACAGTTGTTTTCAACATCACACACACACACACACACACACACACACACACACACACACACACACACACACACACACACACACACACACACACACACACATACGACTAAC